AAAAATATTTTTGTAATAAAAAAGACGAGTTGCGTGATGAAATAATCCTCAATTCCTCATAATTAAACCGTTGTCATCCATGCAGCGATAGTGATGCCACCAAATTATGACTTCAATATTAAAAATGTGAAAAATAAGTGCTAAAAATAGAAATGAAGAGTCCGAAAAACACCACAGTCATTTGGTAGAATTTCAACAATTTTTGGGTCTTGATTGTCACTAATATTCTTATAGGGCTCCTAAATTCCGGCTTTTTAAAGAGTTAATGACGATTCCAAAATTACATAGTCCTATATTGTTTTTAAAAGCATGAGAGTAAATTTATTACTAAACAAATACTTCAAAAATAAAATCAGACCGGAAGTTTTATTTTTTGCTAACAAATTAGATTAAAAAGTTTTTTTATTTTTTTTATTTTCGGATGTTGGTTAACTCATGATATAATAAATGACCCCGAAAACGTGTCAAGATCATAAAGAGGTTATTCGTAAGAGGCTTTGGAGGTTTTGACCTGAGAAGAGACAACTGTCAACGTTACGGAGGCTGTGGAGACTGATGAGTCAGCGCCCTCCGCTTCTCTTTGTTGGTCTTACGTTGTAGCAGACGCCGTGTGGCGGCCTTGCACTATTCCCTTCCGCAGCGCACGTGGGCAACTCCCCGTATCTTTATTTAAAAAAAGAAAACATATTACTTTTAATAAATATTTAAATTACACGGTCAAATTCAGAGTATTTTGAGATCAACTTTCGGAATTTGAATCCTTTGAAAAGTAAAACTTCTCATGTTTTTTTTAGCTAAAAAAGCAAAAAAGAACGTCATGAAATGTCTTAAGTATGCAATTATAAAATCGCCGCTGATATGTAACGTTGATTTGGTTTATAAAGCACACGGTATGTTTAAAATGTCTATAAAATATAAATTAAGTTGATTCTTTTCACATGTAATTTAAAAATATTATGTACGGATCATTGTAATCATTCTGAGGATGGTGAAACCTGTGTGTGTGTGTGTGTGTGTTTTTTTTTTTTTTCTTTTTTGGAGACCATATAACCGCCCGAGTGATAATATTGATACAACCCACTTGAATTAATCTGTTATTAAGCATACCAAGAGATGTAGAAGCTGTGTTTTCGTTATAATCAAAGCTCGCACTAAGGATCTAATTATATTGTAGTATAACATTAAAAACTTACGTTGTTTCCTTTGTTTTTGTTATATTTTGATGCTGATGGTGTTATTAATGACTCGTCCATGTGCACTTATAATGCCAGTCCAACATGATTGTATTCTTCTCAAGTAACCTGAATTACCAGGTGAAAGTAAAAAAAAATGAAAAAAGAAATATTGTACACACATACACACATATATCAGGTGATGAGAGCATGCCCACAGGTTTTTCTAGATGGTTTAATAATAATTTGGATAATCCTAAATTATTATAATAATCTTCTTGCGTTGCTTATAATGATTCTGTGTTTGTTATTTAATTGTATATGTGTTATTAATTTATTAGAAAGCGCGAGTGATGCATTCCTTAAAATATCCAAGTAATTTTTAAAGATTACTGAACTAAACTACACTGGTGACTTCCCCAGTTCCCCCTCTTTTTTCCAGTGGCGAAGCCTGTGTTGTTTTCTCGGTCTGCGTGATGAGGAGTTAATTTCAAAGGAGGAAAAGAGCTAGGTCACTTACTTCTTGCACGTTTTCCTACGAAAACCCAGAGAAAGGCTCCCCCCCCCCCCCCCAAGGAATCGCTTTCCAGCTAGAATGCCTGAAAACCAGAGGCAAGATGGGATTTCGCTGAAACGAAAACCTGGGGCCAGAAATAAAACAAGGGAAGCATACATGTGCGTTAAACTTAAATAATTAAAGTATAATCAGCAAGTTAATTAATACTCCTTTATCCTTCATGTATAATTATATTAGTCCTATATGTAATATCTACTCCTCCGGTTCTAAATATAAAACCTTTATACATATTAGTATAAGTATATGGGTTTTATATTTAGGATCAGAGGAGTATTTCATAATTTTGACAATTTTTAAAAAAAAATTAACCTTATTGATATTTTCTCATCAATAATCAGGTAGGAAAGGGAAGAAGAAAATTAAAGAAGATACTTATGGTATTTTAGAAGAAAACATGCTTCATACTACCTCCGGTCCTAATTATAAGACCCAGTTGACTAATTTAAAGAGATTAAAGAACTTAGTTAAATTAGTTATTTGTAATGAATAGGTGTTGTTTTTCCTAAAATATCCTTACTAATCAAGTTTGTTATCTAAAACTATCATTATTAAAGGACTATCTTGGGAAAAAAAAGGATAAATATGAGGGACAAAGTGGATTGGGGTATTATATTTAGAACCAAAATAAAATTGAAACGGGATCTTATATTAAGGACCGGAGGTAATATTAACTAATCTAACTGGCATTCTTAATATTCTTAAATTAGTTAATTACGTCTTACATTAAAAAACGAAAAAGTATTATGATTATGATGCATGCATCCAGAAACATTCTTTTTTCCCCCTATTTAATGAAGGGTTTTCCTTTTCAAGCGTAAAGAGTTTTATTATTATTATCCATAAATTTGTAATGAACAAACATGCAAATTAAAGTACAATGCTATTATATTGTATCACCGGAAAAAAAAAAAGCACATTATTACTCCTTTTTCTTTTCATATATTACCTCTGGTCCTAATTGCAAAATCTCGTTTATAGACTATAAACGATATCTTATAGTTAAAACTGAAAGTAGTACAAACTATCATTGGGGCATGGATGGCAAAAAGGAAGATCGATCCCTGGCGTTCAATGGCCAGCATGTTCAACAATTATGATCATCAAAGCAAAGAAGCAATAACAATAGTCTTTATATGTACATATGCTATCTGATCAGTTACAAAGTGAGAATAACAAGGTAAGATTAAAATAACGCACGTTTGTTATTATGTCTTTGTCATGTATACATACGCATCCACGTAAGCAAAAGGAGTGAAGTCTTTTTTAAGAAGGTGCAGAACAAGATAACATTGAAATCTCTTGCCGTGACTATTCAAAGGAGCGTGCAAAACTATGCTTAGAATCAACATCCCCTATCTAATAAACCCATCCACGGCAAATTTTAATATATATATTTTTTTCGAGCGTTCACACGGCACAACACTTGTATGGCTCTGGTTAACATAGAATTTTCAATGTGTCAAGAAGAAGGAAAAAGAAAAATAAAAAGAAAAAGAAAATAAAAGAAAAGAAAAGAAACTAATTAAAAAAAGGAACCTATTTAAACGTTTAACTGAATTGTGGTTGATGTTTTAGTTTTAGTTTTTAAGGATGGGCCAACATTAAAATAAAGAAGCCCATATAAGGACCCCAACCAGAAATAATAGCAACTGCCCTTATGCGCTGACGCACTGCTCAGCCATGATTTAGAGCCTTTTTGGCTATTTCCAAAAATATTTTCTAAAACTATTTTTTTTTACAAATTGAAATAAACTCCTCTATATATTTACTTAGTATACTGTAAAATTACTTTTAAAATCATGATTTGGTTTTCATCTAAATATCTCCTTAATATGACCCAATAAAGAAATTCCCTATAAAGAACCTTATTCCCCAAAACAAGTCCCCCCCCCCAAAAAAACACACACACATACTAAATGCAAAGTCCGTATCAAGTTAAGTTTAGCAGAAAATGTTAATTTTTTATAATATGGTATGAAAGATATGTTTATATTTATTATTTGACAATATCTCAAATAGAATTAATAGAAGAATAGCAAAAAAAAAAAAAAAGTAGTCAGATTTGTATTTGGAAAACAGAGACGACTGCTCATGTCCAACTGGGACAAGAAGTTGTGGCCCAAAAGGCCCTGCTGGTGAGCCTCTCTCTAGATGGTACTAGACCTTTATGGCTGGCTCTCCAGTTTGACGTGGAAGGAACCATATCATTAAATTCTCAGTCATTGTGTCATCCCCTTTTTAAATTTCATTCTTATTAGGCCCACTACCAAAAAAAGAGAGATGAAAACATAAAGATGCCCATAAGTAGGAGATACGCTTTTGGGACATAGATTCATTTTAACATTCCCAACATATGACCAACCATTCTTCCCTTCATTATCATGAAGCCTGTTCCTGCTTCCTCCTCTTGAGTTCGCTCTCTCCTCTTAAAAGTCATACTCATTTATTCTATTTATAAGATAAAGAGAGAAGAAATTTTTTTATCCTATTTATAAGGCAGTGAGAGAAATTTTTTGTATGGATGTACAATTTTACTCCTTATTTATTATCATGTTAACTTTATTTATATGAGGCATAATGTATATTAAATAGGGATAAAGTTAAAAAGTTATTAAATTTTAAATGAGAGTTAATAAAGTTGAAATTTTTTTTGGTCTGTGTGAAATATACTGGAAGTGCCTTATAAATAGGATCAGAAGAGTAACTAATATACTCACTGTACTTTTTACAGAGAAAATTTAAATTTACAGCATCATGTTTAAGGGAGACATTTGACTGATATGAATAGACTATGAGATTCTTTATCATGCTCTCAGAGCTTATCAAATACCTTTCTATTAAAATGATTAACATAAAGAGGATAAAATTTGGTACTCTTCTAGTCTTAAATACAAGACTCTTATACTAGTAGTATAAGAGTCTTATATTTAAAACAGGAGGAGTATTAACTACGATTATAATTATAAAATTTTATTTATAAATTATAATTATGCTGTTATATTCATTTCTATCTTGCTTCTCTCTCTCATTAAACGAAAATCTCCTTGTGATCTCAACTATTCTAACCAAAAAAAGAAAAAGGCCACGTGGAAGTAAATCAAACAACGCGGACAAAATCGTCATTTCACTCACTCACCATGTTATTTGTCTTCTCCTCCACATTTATGTCGGTTTTAACAGTGCATTATACTGTGTGCATATATATATTGGACGAAAATTTCCACGCGTACGTTCCTGACCGAGATCCCGACCTCTAAATTGGGTTATTTCCGAAACCGAGCAACCAAGGCGGAGGCAACAGACGCAAGCAAAGCTGGAAGCTAGAAGAAGACGAGCAAAACCCAGATAAAATCATCAGCCACACATTCCGCACCGTTCTTGGCTGCTGCTATACCTCAAGTTCCTACTCTTATGGTGTCGGTAAATCCGAATCCTGCTCAAGGCTTCTACTTCTTCGATCCCTCCAGGATGGGGCTTCCCGGTGTCAATCCTACGCCGCCACTTCCCCTTACTGCTACGGCTTCTTCGTCCACGGCCACGCCGGCTTCGTACGGGGACGATCTGAGTAAGAAGATCAGAAAACCATACACGATTACCAAGTCCAGGGAGAGCTGGACGGAGCAGGAGCACGACAAGTTTCTCGAAGCTCTCCAATTGTAAGTTTTGGTTTATCTTTATCTCTAATTAAGGTTACTATGAAAATATTCTTGCTTTTTTGATGTTTTTGTATCAAGCACTGTATTTCTTTACGGATGGATTTCGGATTTCCGCTAATGCAAGATTAGAATCGACCATTTCTTTCTCCTACTCCATCGCCTCCCCCAATTGTTCTAGTTTACTTGATAAGTTGACGTGATTAGTTGAGAATTTCGTTAACCAGTGAAAGAGGACCCTTAATCTTTTAGGTTACTGCAGTAGTTTCGTTTATAATCCGCCGGGGGCAGGGAGTCTCACAATTTACTATCCTTTTCTTTTATTGTTCTTGTTATTACGAATTTCCGCTCCTCTCACCGATTTGAAGTCAAGTACTATGGAATTATAATTTGGGCTTTAAATTTTGATTTATGAGTATGCATAAGATTGAAAAAGGATCTTCTTGAGATAGAAAGCTAAGTACTTCGTTCCTCAAACCACAGGTGATCAGCTCTCTTCAGAACATAAGTATTAAAATCGCTGTGAAATTTGAGTTTAGTAGAGTTATTCAATTTGCACATTAGATACAGTGAATCCCTCAAAATAAACGTTCTAAACACCCAAGATAAGCGATATATACAATTCTTTCACATTCAAGATAACGTATGCCCTTGAAGATGCGGTCATCTGGCCCGGCAAACCAGACAATCTAACTGACTGCATAATGCCAGTATGCTACAAAGTTTCCTTTCCTCTTTGCATCAAAAACCTTTGAACTGAATTAGGAGAAACTGTCGAGTTGAAGGTGCATGGTTGGCATTCTACTTTTATGAGGATGCATAGTAACGTGGAGATGCAATACCATGCTTTCTGCCTAAACACCCCCCCCCCCAAAAAAAAAGAAGAAGAAGAAAAAACAAATCTCTGAAAAATGGAAGTAAAAGATAACTGTTTTTGTTGGCTGCTTGAAATTTGTGTCTTTTTTATGGAAATCAGATTTATTTGCTCATTTTTCTTACTTGTTTTCTTTGTTATGTCTGACTGATCTTAGATTTGACCGTGACTGGAAGAAGATTGAAGCATTTGTTGGTTCAAAAACTGTTATCCAGGTAATTACTAATCATCCTAGAAGGGAAAGAGAAATAAAGAACATGATATCATTGGGCATTGGATGCTTTAATTTTTTTTCCCTATAGCATGACAGTGCAAGGTGGACTATTTGCATTGTTGGGGACCAGAAATAGTAATAAGTGAAATAATGTTGCAGTTTGTCGTATGTTTGAGTAGAGAAGAAAGAAAGACATCGAGTTTTGAACTCATGTTGAATTTATATAATGAATTCCTCTTATTAGTTGCTGTGTTGGCAATATGAATGAGTCATGGTTGTGATTGTTAGAATGTAGTGATTACCATTTAAACATATTTGTTCCGGGATATAGAAATTATATTGATTTTTTTATCATTTTTTTCACGGTAAAAACTACTTTGCATGTTACATGGTCTGCATGTTCCTTCTTTCTTCTTTCTGGCAAAGCTGTATCATATATTTATTACTTCTCCTCCTACACTTTGGCAGATACGAAGTCATGCACAGAAGTATTTCCTGAAAGTTCAGAAGAACGGGACAAGTGAACATGTGCCTCCCCCTCGGCCAAAAAGAAAGGCTGCTCATCCATACCCACAAAAGGCACCTAAAAATGGTTAGCAGCTTACCATAGTCGACCACTTTTCATGCATTCATTGCTTGAACCTGCTGTGTCTTTTGGCTTCTGTGATTAACTGTTTTTTTATGATGTTCATTTTAGCAGCTCCAGCAGTATCCCAAGTTACAGTGCCATTGCAATCATCATCTTCTTTCATTGAGCCCTCGTACATTTATAGGCCAGACTCTTCATCTGCGCTTGGAACTCCAGTTACCCGTGTGCCTTTGTCAAATTGGACTTGTAATGTTAGCCCACAGCCCAGTGTGCCACAAGTGACTAAAGGTTTGATTTGATCTCAACTCCAGTGCCTTTTTTTTTTTTTTAAATATTTTTTTTAATATCTGGTTCTCTATTTCTTGCCATTTATTTATTCAATGAATTTAGATTTAGATAAATTGAACGCCCTGTTGACGCTGAAATTATTGATTTTTCTATTAGATGAGATGGGGTTGCATGGGCAAGCTGCTTCTCTAAATTGTTGCTATAGCAGTAGTAATGAGAGCACTCCAAGGGCTTGTCCAGGTAGCAAAGTTATTGATCAAGGAAACTCAGGCAAGCTGATCAAAGGTTGGTTGATTTCTTTTCTCCGTTTGAGCTTGAGATGAATTTGACATACTGGCATAAAAAATATTGATAATCACGTTTATCTTGGCTGTGTTGAAGTGGCCTGTACAGTGGGTTTAAGTAAATAATACAAATAATTACTTCATTAAGTTATGTTTTCAAGTTGAGTTCAAGCATGCAGTGTCTCAACTGTATTATGTGGTTGCTTCAATTCTTGGAAATTCTCGGTACAGTAATCAGTAAAAGAATTTTATTTTCATAAGGATGTTGAGGAGACAAATGATGAAGGAAATTATTCCCAAGGTTTCCATCTGTTAAACCAGACTTGTCTTGCAAATTAAACGCAAATATTCATGCTGAACCCATGTTCCTGGTCCATGAAACTGCCCAGAATTTGAAGGTTTTTAGGCACTTTGGGACCATGTTCCAATCTAAGATTACTATTGTTGCCGTGCTTCTTTGGATGAGTTCAGAAATTGTTTACTGCTTTCTGTCGTTTACTCTCGCCCCAGGGCTAGATTGGCTCCCATTCCGAATTTACTGTTTGGAGCGCTATACATAATTACTTTATGTTACTTTTCCTACTTCCTAGTCATTATTCTTCAATTTCGGATGATGCCTTGTGTTTATGTTGTTATTGTTTGTCATATATTTTATTAGCATGTTCATGATTTTGACCACACTTTCTGTCGACCTTCACCTGTCAGATGCAGTAATGCCAGATTTTGCACAAGTTTACAGCTTTATTGGTAGTGTGTTTGATCCAAATGCTGCAAATCACTTGGAGAGACTGAAACAGATGGACCCGATAAATGTGGAAGCTGTAAGTAACCAAAAGCTGGTTCTTGTTTTCCCCCCACATCATCGTCCCTCTATTTTTTGTGTTGGTTTGAACTGTAAGAGTATGTTTGAACTGAGAAGCTTGCATGGTTCTTTTTGCAGGTATTATTATTGATGAGAAACCTCACCATCAATTTAATGAGTCCCAAATTTGCAGATCATGTAAGACCTGTTCCCTAGTAGATGGAATTATTCTCTCGGTAGTTTTTCATCTGATAATTTCTAAGCACATCAAATCTGATGTGCTTATTTTAGATAACATGATGCTAGATATCACATGATTCCATCTACCTGAATTACTTTAAAGCCAATGCGTTGAATTTCCTGTTTTGGTATTTTGTAATTGTAATGGGAACTAGAAAATGTTTAAGGCTTAGGTGTGGGAATCATATTTATGTTTGATAGCATGGATGATTCCTATTGAACTGTGGTTTTCTAGATATAGGGGATCTCTGATTTTGGCCACTCTTCTTTGCGATAAATACTAATATCTTGGTCGAATAAGCAGGCTCCCTTTATTTCCTAACATTTAAAGCTGTATGTAAATATGACTGAGCAATAAATACTAATATCTTGGTCGAATAAGCAGGCTCCCGTTATTTCCTAACATTTAAAGCTGTATGTAAATATGACTGAGCAATCTGAAGTTATTCATAATGTCAGTTTATGGTTACCGGTAGGGGACATATTTGCCAGATCCATTTCCATGTTCTTTGCCATTGCCATGTGGAATGATGAAACCCCGATGAAGTACAAAATCCATTTGCATTTATGCCCGACGAAGTACAAAATCCTTTTGCATTTATGCATGATGATGACCTCTATTATATGAACTGTATTATAATCTACTAAATTGCTCACTTTTTGCATAACATTCTGAAATTAATGCAGAGAAGGTTGCTTTCATCCTATGATCCTGACCATTAGAAGGAGAAGTCTGGTAATCTCTGCAGCAATCCTTTAATCTCAGAGTGCAATTCTGTCTGCTTAAAGCGGTACAAGTGGATTCTGCTGCACGGTGATTTCATATGTTTTCCAAAACCTGAAATTCTCTGTTCACTACCTCTGATACTGAATAGTAAACTATGGGCTCCTTGTAAGGTGAAAGAATGTGAGAAGTTGGGCGCTAGGTGTTTCATCTGTATATAACGTGACATGCAATGTTCGGGATTTTTGTTTGGTTTAGGTATTAGGTGGGAACGGAGTTATCCTTGTGGTTTATCTATCTAGGGTCTTGTGTATAGCTTAGGAAGATGATTATCCTTGAAGCATTTGTTTTCTGTAAGTAGGATCATACATGTTAGAGTCCTCAATTTCGATCGGGTCACTTTTGGAGGCTATATTGTACAGTCTGCTGAGCGCTTTTGTGTGTTTTGGTATGAAGCTGCTTTTAAGATTTATACGATGGTGGGGTCAAAGCTTGGGATGGCTGATTGTGTATATTGTACATAAACTAATAGAAGAGTGAGAATATTGTACATTTTCTGTTTTCGAGTATGCGGATAGATTGTCAGCATGCTGGGACCAATCCGAAGAGGGAGAGAAAGAGAGCGCAAAAAGTGTGGTTTTCTTTTCTTTTTCAAAAGGAAGCTGAAATTGAAGCATTTTGATATCTATTGATTTGGGCTTTTATAAATCTTCTAGTGGACGAAGTGCTAATAGAGTGGGCGTGCGTCTGTTTGCCAAGGTAAAATAATCATTTTCACAAAATGGTTGTGCTCGAAGAACTTTTGAAATTTTGGTCTGTGGATTCTGGATGGCTGACTGAAGAAAGAAAGGGGGATCAAGAAGATTAATTTGGGGAAAAGAAAATTTCAATAAAACGATGAGTAGGGTCCTGTAACTAAGTTATTTAGCCAAAGCTAAGGACCTGCTTCGCGCTTAATTAAACTCCATGGATAGGAGGTGCTAATGCGAATGTTTTACTCTCCCCTCAAGTCCGTTCATTAATTTTCTTTATCTTTTGTAATGGAGAAGTGTACTTCTATAAAAGCATCGAGAAATACAGCACTAAAACTAATTAGAGATTTAGGGCTTATTTGGCAAATAACTGGAGTTATGGTTTTGGGGCCCAAATTATGATTTAGGTCAAAAATTTGTCAAACAAGGAGAAAACTTAACAAACCACGGTTTTGGATTAAAATCATGGTTGGTTTTGAGCTCAAAACTATAGTTTCGGAAGAAGTGAATTTATTTTGTTCTAGCTCAAATTAGAAGTATGATTGTGCCTGTCAGAATAGATCTAATAGTAATATGATTTTAACACTGCGCAATTATTTTTCTGTAAATATATTTAATCTTATATTTTATAAATATACATAGACATATTGATTATTTATTAATTACATTATCTTGTATATTATCAATTATGTTGGTAAAATTTATTAGTTTTATTCCTTCAAATTAAAATTTATCTTTTATGTAATTGTCATATTAACTTATATCTTTTTTACTAATTTATACATATAAAAAGTGCTTCTGATAACAACTATTCAAACACTCTCACTTTATCAAGATCACTTTTTTATAAAATCTATTCTTCCAAGAATTTATTTTCCAGAAGTTATTCTTTAACCTATGATTTGGTTTCATCCAAATACCCCTTAATTTGATTTTGAATATAAGATTTAAATTTATTTTATTTTCTCTATATATTTATTTTTTTCAAAACAGTTTTTATGATAATTATGTATGCGAAAGGTTTTTATTCTAATATGTATGATTAATGGGAGTATTTTGATAAATGTAATATTAATTTATTATAATAATCAACTTAACTTATTTAACTTATATAGAAACCAAATTATTTTTTATTACATTTTTATATTTTGCAGATGATAAGTTGTTATTAATCTGACTTGCGAGTATATTCCTTATCCGTTCACGGAAACTCCAAGACAGGTCTCGAACTTCAATGGTATTTACTATGAAGTCCCTTGGTCTGTCTTGTAATAAAAGCCAAAAATCAAGTCCATTTTACAGTTACTCACTCTAAACGAAACCCCTTCCGTTGGTGCTTGAAAACCCAATCCATTGTTACTCCGACAGGGAGAACCGAGCAAACACCATATCTATGGCTAGTCCTTCGCTTCTCCAGTCCTCAACGTCGTCGTTTCTGGGCCAATTCCGAGTGTTTCCGGCTCCGCTGTCCTCCGGACTTCTCTACAGAAATGGGAATGGAGGGGCTGTGGCGCCGGTGAAGGCCACAGCGGGGGGGTCCGGGGTTGTATTGGTGGAGAAGTCTGAGGCAGAGAAGCCCCGCCGGCTCAAAATAACATACAATGAGAAAATCGTGCCCTTGCTTATGGAAGAATTCAACTACACCAATATACACGAGGTTGCGTAATGTTCTTGCTTCTTTTTATTGGCTCATTAGAACGTTCGAATTTTGGGTTTCATGGGTTCCCACAGTGAAAATTATTATTGTTCTTATTATTTTGATAAAAATTTCATGTGTTTTCTTTTGTTGATGTAAGATGATGGAGAAAATACGATGGAAGCATGGTAAGTTGATTTTCCACCAGTTTTAGGGAGTTTGGAGTTTCTATATTTCCCTCTCTGTTCTCTTCAATTTTAATGAAACCCTTGGAACTCTGGGCTTCGTGGGTCTTACGCGCGAAAATTATAATTTTTTCCTACTTTGAATTTTATGAGGTTTTATAGTTTGATACAAGACAATGGGGAAAATGAGGTGACAAGGAAGCATTATCTTCACTTCATAAAATTTAGGGGCTTTATTTTTTCCTTTCAGGTCCCTAAAATTGAGAAGGTCGTGGTTAATTGCGGAATAGGAGATGCCGCGCAGAATGCGAAGGGTTTGGAGGCAGCAATCAATGATCTAGCGCTCATCACAGGGCAGAGGCCTGTCAAGACACGAGCAAGGGTCTCACTTGCCACCTTCAAGATCAGGGAAGGTCAACCCCTTGGGATTGCTGTGACACTCAGAGGAAAAGTAAGGATGTACTATTCGATAGATATTGCTGTGTGTGTTATTCATTTGTCATCTGAACATATTGCCTGTGCATGACATAAATTTGCCTATGAGAAGTTGATATTTTAAACAAAGTGGAGAGGCTATTTGGTAGGTTTAGGATATATTTGGATGGATGGCATAGGATGGAAAGAAGTGGCCCAAGTGAGCTAGGTCATTTTTTGGGAGTTTGTTTTGGGATGGAGTGGAATGGACACTCATTGCTATCCAAAACTCTGATTTTCGTGTCTCTCTAAATGATGGGTCAAGGATGAAATGGAATGGGCTGATAGTAAAATTAAAATTTTTTTCCCGGCCAATAACTTGCTAGGTACACATTCTAAGGTAAATATTGAAAGATAATTTATTAGCCATTTATTCCATGAACGACACCTCTCCTATCTCATCAAACTCTCAAGCAATAGAATGACTTGTCATTTTTTTTTGGGGGGAAAATCACTCTTATGTAATCCAAAGGGAGAAGTGTAATTATCAAAAGGTCTCATAACAAGTAAATGACAAGTTGCAGTGCAAAAAATGACAGTAAGATCCATGCTGCTCATGTGTCATCAGGACTTCTTGATAATTATATTCTTTTCTTGGGATCTCACAGTGATTCCCTCATTTTTCCTCTTGCTCCATTATCTCATGACTCCCTAACAGACTATAGAAGATGGTCATATCAAGCCAGTTGTGAATAAAGCATATCAGGGGTGGATTTGCATGCATGTTTATTTGTGAAAGTTTTGGTCTATCTATCTTTCTGAAGTGTGTCTTTCCTCTGGCATAAAAAAAAAAAAAAAAAAGAGTGGCTTTCCTTAAGAATTTTTCAACAAGGTGGTTAGCATGAAAGTGGCTTATAACGTGGAGTTGGCAGCAAAATAGTGTGGTTTAGTAGGAAAATAAATGCCTTAGCACAAGCCTTTTAGGAACTTCAAATAGATGTTTGATCAAAGCTTGGTTATTGCCTGGAGAAAGAAGGCATGAATGTGGAACATGTGGCTGCCGTTTTTCAATGAATTTTGTTACTTGTTGCATCTTCGTGTTGTGTGTAAGCTTATTGATGTCTCTTGGGAAGAAGAGACGAATGGAGAATGAGTCATATAATACACTTGATGGAGGTGACATGATTATGGATGTACTTGATGATACCTTATTTATGGAATATCCATTAGATTTGTGAAGAAATTAGTTGTGGACATTGATAATGGATTCATGGTCATGCGCGTAGAACCCATATGGTTGAATAATCTGAGGAATACTAGATTCCATATTTGAATTGTGCTCTCAAAAAGGGTTAGGAATATGTTGTTATAGTTGCTATCGGGGTTTGGAATGTATGCCTTGCTGTTGCAAGTTTGTGGGCTATGTTTCCTCTAATGAAGCGTATCTTTGAATGATTGTTTTTGCGGGCTTTTCTGAACAAGCAATTTATAGATTTTATTGTCTGGGGCTTGTTTGTGTCAAAATTTGTATTGTTGAATGGTCATTACTTGTGTTTACGATATCTGTTTTCTCACCAACAATTGTGCTGAAAGATTGGTTTTACATTGAATACCGAACTTCACATGAGTTAACATTTCAGAGTTCTGCTCCTGCATGCTTTTATCCTAAAGTGTCAGAGCAACATAGCTTAATCCAAAACTAGGAGTTTGATATCATTTGTTTTCAACAGTTGATGTACTCATTCCTGGACCGACTTGTCAACTTGGGGCTTCCCAGGACAAGGGATTTCCAGGGTGTTAACCCCAACAGTTTTGATGGACACGGGAATTTCAGTATTGGCGTCAAGGACCAGAGTGTGTTCCCAGAAATCAGGTCCGATATTGTCGGTACGCCCAGAGGAATGGACGTATGTATAACAACAACGGCGAAAACTGATCAAGAGGCAAGCAGATTGCTGGCTCTCATGGGCATGCCATTCAGAGAGGGAGGTGGTCCTGTTACAACAATTCGCAAAAAGAAGCTCAAGTCTCACCATTTTGACTCAAAATCAAAGGGAAGAGGAAGGAGGTGAAGTTTTGTAAATGAGATTGTAGCAAATCGCCGTATCCTTATTTTGTAGCACTATTTATTATTCATTTTGTGATCAACAATTTGTTATTTTAAGTGTTACTGTTACATTATGGTTGTGTTTGCTAACTGATCAAAGAAGTGCTTTTAAAATAGTCTAAGATGGAACGAATCAGATTTATCAGAAAAATAAAAGTGGAATCTTGTTTGGTCATGGTTCTTTCCTCCTAGGCATGCACGAGAATTCTTATGCACAATTACTAAATAGAATCTGCCCTTATGCATTGCATTTTCAGAAGTTCATAAAGCGGCTGAAAATGCCATACCTTTTATCTATGCGAAATTTTTGAGCATATATGAATCTTCATGCGCACGATTATATTTAACTTTGGCACTAATAATATTAAAACAATAATGAAATAATAATATACACCTCGATTCTAATTATAAGAGTCAGTTGACTAATTTAAGGAGATTAAGGAAGTAAGTTGAGTTAGTTATTTGCTTTAAATAGGTGTTTGTCTTTCCTAAAATCTTGCTATTCAAGTCTATCAACTAAAACTATAATTATTAGAACGATTATTTTGAAAAAAATTGAGTAAATATGAGAGACAAAGTAGATTGGGTCTTATATTTAGGATTAAAATAAAAGTCAAACAGGATCTTATATTAAGGATCGGAGGTAATATAGTTTAGTTATGGTCCACTTTTTAAATTTTATGTATATCTTTTCTATTAAAAAAAATTCATAGCGTTATAATTATTGAATATGAGATCTTAAGATGAAGTGATGATATTTTTAGTTCAAGATTTCACGAGACCATATGATGTGAGGTGGAACCGTGGGAGTGTTGCAATTGCAGAGGAAGGTGTTGCCTTCGGGAACAAGCTAAACTACGTCAGGAGATGCAACGTGGTGAAATGGGACAATCACATTGCCAAGCCATTTATCCTCCTCCTTCAAATTTCAGAAATTATCAATGATAAAGGACAACATAAGAAACATCCAAATGAGGAAAGGTAACATTTTTATCAAGACACAAGTTTTGTTTAATTTGAAAATATAAATAAAACTGTACTCCAAAATGTCTCTAATTTTGTAAATTTTATAATCTATACAAGTACCGTAAGAGAGCACAGTATATCATGATTATTTATTTGACTTCAAAGTCATAACACTTGTACGTACAACATCTTAAAATTTAAGACCTCATGATCATTGATGTATAACCTTTTTTTTTTTTTTTGCCAACTGATATATAACCTTTGTTATCAATTAAAAAACATAAAATATTGATGTATAATCTACCTTAATATTCACGTTTTATGAACAGCCAGTATACAATTAAAATTTAGTTTTAAGAAATTTCTGATTGAAAAATCTATACACCTTATGGTCATTAAATATATTTCGTCTTGCCATCAAATCGTAAAACATAAATTAACAACCACCCATGCTAATTATAATAATAAGGAATAACATAGTAACTCTCTATAATTATCACAAACATTTATTGATCTTATTTGCATTTAAAATTACTATCAACTCTTAAAAAACTGTATTACTATTGTGATCAGTAAGCACTTTTGATATTCAACTAATCTAGCAGTAATAAGTTAAACATCCAAAGGTGTTTGTGAACACTAACAAAACTCAGATGTTGGATAAGGAAATGCAAAATTTTAAGAAATTTTAAATTTTAAAGTTATTACTCCTTTCGGTCCTTAATATAAAACTTTTTAACTAATTTGATTATATTAAAAAAGTTAGATAAGTTAGTTAATTATAAAAATATGACATATTTTTCTTAAAACATCATAAC